CGTGAGTTTAAGCCACCGGGTCTGGGACGTGAACCGTGGTTGACTACATAGGAGTCCAGAGGCATAGCCATTATGCTAACTGCTGGTCCCCTATGCCTCTTCTTCATAGCCTGGCTTGCTTCACTCAGCAGTAAATCTTCCATATTCAAAATGGGGAGGAAAAGCAGTAATTGGACAAAGAAAGGTGCCAATTTCTGTTAAAGATATATTATAATTTAGTCAACGGGACTAGGGAGACATGTTCACATATTAAAATATTCACTTTGTAAACTAATTAATGTGATTGACTGTATAAAAGAAAATGAAATTAAAAATAAAGAAAAAAAATTGACTATAGGGCAAGTACATTCACCAGAGGGAGACAGAGGAGAGAGAGAGAGAGAGCAGAAAAGTGAGAAATCCCCCCACCCAGGGGGGCATAGCCATGCTACAGTCCCTTCTCCTTCATTCTCCTCTCAGATTTTGGACCATATGCACATGTGCTCTCAGGCCACCAGGTCCAGGACGTGAGCCACTCAGCCAGCCACGTGGGATCCATCTGCTTTAGCAACTATGCCACCCACAATCTGTTTTTATTTCATCTTTTTTTTTTAATTGCCAGAGCGTGTGTGTTCACCAGAGAAAGACAGAAAAATAGATATATTGAGAGAGAAAGAAGAAGAAACACCCTCTGATGAGGCATGATCACATTGTCATTCTTTCTCCTCCATTTCTTCATCCTGTTGTGATTTGGGGCACATATACACATGCAGCTGGAGTTTTTCAAGCCACCAGGGCCAGGGTCCTATCCTTAGTCAGCCATGTGAGATCTGGCTCCCTTAATCAGTAGGCTATGTGACTGGCCCGCAGCAATTTGTTTTAATAGGTTATAGTGATTCATGCTCATGTCGAAGACACTGTTCTAGGACTGAACTAGGCAGATTTACTCACTGAAACTCAGAGATCATTGAAAATACGAGTCAATATAGGTTTTGAGCCTGGCTGAATAAGAAAAGCTAGTTGTTTAAAGTATCTAGGTATATTTCTTAATGCCATTAAACAAATAATTGAAAGAAATTTCTCTGTCAAGTTATATAGCTGTTGGCCGTTAGTATGTATAGTATATATACACACATATAGCTATTGTATAAAAGTAACAGAGACCACAAGTAACAGGGGCTTAAACAATATAGTTAATTCGGGAACCAGCAGTTAGCGTAAGGGCTATGTCGCTGGACTCCCACATGGTCGACTGCGGTTTGCGTCCCAGACCCGGTGGCTTAAAACTTACGCCAGGCGTGTGGGCATGTGTGCCCAAGATCCCGAGAGGAGAACGGAGGAGGAGGGATTGCGGTGTGGCCATCTCCCCTGAGGGGTGATTTCTCGCTTTCTGTCCCTCTGTCTCTCTCTGTCTGTCTGGCGAGTGCACGCGCCCTATAGCAAAAAACCTCTAAAAATAATAATAAAATAAAAAAACCAATATAGTTAATTATAGTTTATAACAGAAACTCTGAGGTTCATCCAGGGTTGGGTCAGAGGCTCTTTAAAGTCATCAAGGCCTTAGGCTCAAGTGCCAGACTTTTTCTATCTTTCTGCATTGCTACCCTCCTATGCTAGTGATGTCTCGCCTCAAGGTCACAGAATAGCTACCAAAGCTGCAAACATTTCATTCTGCTAGGATAGCATTTTAAGCAGGAAGAAAGTAGGTGGGAGTCTAAGTGCTTCCTTTTTATGTACCATTACTCTTTACCCTCCTCTCTCTCTTAGACCTCCAGAAGACTTTTTCTTATGTATCATTGTCCCAAATTGGGTCATATACCTGCTCTAGACCAGTCACTAGTTAATAGGACTAGATTATATATATATCAATATTTATGCCCTAGCATTGGGCCATTGGCCATCCCAACAAAGTCAGAATTCTTTTAGTCAAGAGAATAGGGACAGGGTTGTGGGGAGAGTAACAGTGCCTACTACAATCAGAAGGATTTACATATACTTAACTCGTATGTCAGTGTCCAGTAAAATAATTTTATTCACATAATGCCTTTCTCAAATTACACTCTAAGTTTTCTACTGAATATTTTCCCTCTTGCCTTTGTCATGACAGCTTTTTCTTTTTTTTTTTTTCCCAATGCCAGAGGGTGTATTTGCTTACCATGGACAGAGAGTGAGGAAACATACCTCAATGAAGCATGGTCATGCAACAATCCTTTTTCCTTCATTTTTCATCCTGTTGGAATACGGGGCACTCATACACATATGTTCGGTATGTTATTAAAGACACCAGGGCTGCGATTCAAACCATAGTTGGCCATGGAAGATCTGGATCCTTTAACCACTAAGCCCCGGAAGTAGTGGTGACAGGTTTTCTTGAAGTTATTTGTTTATTTATCCCAACAGAGCACGCGAGAGAGGTAAACTCCCAACAGGGTCTTCATACTGCAATCTACCTCCACCCTCAGCCTGTCCTGGATTAAGGGCATGTGTGTGCCTGACATAATCAGGGAGGTCTCTGGATACAAACTCAGAGTATTGCATTTCCACTCTACCATTTTCTAGCCTCTTTACCATGACAGATTTAACACATAAAGAAATAAATTTTAATGACTTTATATTGATGCTATTTCCAATGAGAAAACCTGACTTGAGATTTCCCAGGTTGGTCCATTTTATATAATAGGCTACTGTGAGAACTAGTACAATTGCAAACAAACAAAGATTTCCCGGAAATATATTTTTGAACTGGCACCATCTCTTTTGTTTGTTTGCTTTCCGGTAGTTTGCTATAGGGTGCATGCTCTCACTGGAGACAGACAGAGAGATATAGGGAGAGAGGGAATGTGAGAAATCACCCCACTCCCACCCCCAGGCTGAATGGCCATACCACAATCATTTCTCTTCTAGTCTCCTTCCAGGATTTTGGGCATGCACGCACATGTACTCTGTGTGATTTTCAAGCCATTGAGTCTGGGAATTGAACCACACAGTTGATATGGGATCTAGCTGCCTTAACATCCATGCCACCCATTGGCCCTCATTATTTTTACAACAAACACTAACACTTTCTTTCCAATATAATTTTATATATTAATTTGGGACAAATGTGTGGTAACATAGGGATTAAAATCAACTTTTACTATTCTTCTATGGGACTCTATTCTATAGCCTCCTGGTCATCTTACAGTGTTCCAAATGTAAGACAGCTCATTTTGGCGCTGGAAAGCAGACTTCTGGGGGTGGAGATAAATGTGTTCCCAAGGAGGAGAAAACTATGTTTCTCTCTAGTCTCTTCCTAGATCCACCAATTGTGGAAGAAGCTGACAATCTGATTGGTCAGAGCTTGACATCCACTAGGAAGAATACCACTAAGCATCCTGGCTACTACACTGATAGGTGGTGTGTGTTCTCAGTTGGATTCCCTATTTCATCTTTTCCTCTGGCTCTAGGTGATAAGTGATTCATATACTGATTCAATGGACATAGAGCAGGAAGCAGTGCTTGGGCTTCTTGTTCTGACTCAGATTAGCCAATCTAGTTCAATTTTATCATGGATAACCCCTGAGTATTGAGGGGGCAATGCCATGTGCCCAGTTGTATATACAACCCAACCTGACTTCCATTGAGTTCTTCTTTGCAGTCACACTCTTTGCTGAAGGCCCCATAAGGAGAGGCAGGGGAAATGGTAGGATTAGCAATTTCTAAAAGACTCCTGGGTTTACAAGAGTTCCTAATTGATTGGGCCAGCAGGTGGGATGATGATTAGAGTGGATGATTCCCATGGGGCTAACTGTGTGGTTCAAGTCTTAGACTTGATGGCTTGAAAAACACCCTGAGCCATTTGTATGAGTGCCCAAAGTCCCAAAAGGAGAATGGAGGAGAGAGGATTGTCGTGTGGCCATTCCCCCGAGGGGTGCTACCTCACTTCCTCCCCCACCACTGTCTCCAGTGAGGACACATGCCCTATAGCAAAATTTTTTTCAAAGTTTTGAAATGGCATTTGCAAAGGATCCTACTAGCTGAAAATATATGAGCATATTGGTTTGACTACTATTGGTTTAATAAAAGACTGTCATTTTTACTTAAGTTATGCACTTATATGCTAACGATACTGTGCTTTTCTTTCAAAATTTGGTTTATTCAGGCCAAATCTGGTGTCAAGAAACAGAAACAGCCCAGACTTATGAAGACAGTAAACACAATCAGTTCTGAAGACCTCACAGGCAGAATTCCATGGTCTTCTCTAGTTCATTAACACTAGCTTGACTCAGACTCCAACTTATTCATCCATTTGTCTCAATTCAAATTTTTTGAGAGAAAATATGATTGGTTCTCTCTGAATAAGGTGCATCTATTTGGCTTGATCAATGGATATTAAGGTGATAAGATCATGGGAGAAAACACAACCACTTAGGCCCATGGCTTAGTATGGCTGATGAAGGAAGCAGGCTCTCCCAGAGGACGTGTAGGCAAAGATGCAATGCCTGTCAATTCTATTTGAATGTAGTTTTAAAAATAGCAAACACATGGGGCCGGCAGGTGGCATAGTGGTTAAATTGCTGGACTCTGCGCCAATGGTGGTTCCAGTCCTGGACCTGGCAGCTTGAAAATCACTCCAGATATGTGTGTGTGTATATGCTCCAAATCCCAGTAAGAGAATGCAGGAAAAGAGATTTCAGAGTAGCCATTCCCCTGGATGATGATTTTTCAGTTTCCCTCTCACTGTCTCTCTGGCAAGTGCATGTGCCCCACAGCAAAAAAAAAAAAAAAAAAAACAGAAAAAAAAAAAAAAAAAAAAAAAAAAAAAAAAAGAAGAAGAAGAAAGAAAGAAAGAAAGAAAAAGAACAGCAATTGCCACCGAACTATTTCTTTTTAAAACAATAATTATTTAATTATTTTATTTTTATTTTTATTTTTAATTCACCAGAGAGAGACAGACAGAGAGAGAAAGTGAGAAAGTAAGTCTCTGCATCCGGGACTTGAACCACAGTTGGTTATGTGGGAGTCCAGCACTTTAACCGCCATGCCATCTGCTGGTCTCAACATCAAACTATTTCTGAGAAAAAGCAATAATAAACTAATATATGAGTAGACACATACAACATAAAATGAGGGAACTCTGTCTTTTCATGTTGTTACTGGTATTTAATTGCTTGACTTATTATCTAAGCCTGAAGTAAATCTTTCAAATCATTGTTCCTAAAGAGGTTCTTCCTGGGTTTTTCTATGTACATTATACCACCAAGTATAATAACTTCATATTTGGTCTACTTTGATGTGTTCTGTAGTTTTTTCTTCTGAATCTGTAAAAGGAAGAAGAATGAAAAGATGTAACTATTTTAAAAACCCACTAGCAGCTTATGTTTTCATTAACTTTCCTTTTGCTCCCCTCTTCCTTTTGGTCAGTGGATTCCTGTCTGATTCAGACTGATCCAATAGCTGATGGAGTGCATGTGTGAGAGGGATCTGTGGGGAAATAAGGCCACAAGATCAATATTAAATATTTTCATATAGCAACATTAATTCCAGCCTTGTTCCTGCCCTTGAGCTATCTCCATGTGCAGCCTCCCTTGCCTCCCTTGCTTCTCATTCAGAATTGTGTAGAAGCACTCTTCTGTTCTCAGCTCCATTTCTTCTCCTGGCCTTGCATCATCTTACTAGTAATGTCCTGTGGTTAGTCCCATTCTTTTTTCTCTTCTTCTTTTTTTGGAGAGGTTTTTGCTATAGGGCACATGCGCTCGCCAGACAGACAGAGACAGAGAGACAGAAAGCGAGAAATCACCCCCCAGGGGGGATGGTCACGCCACAATCCCTTCTCCTCCATTCTCCTCTCGGGATCTTGGGCATGCACACACACGCACCCAGCGTGAGTTTAAGCCACCGGGTCCGGGACTCGAACCACGGTCGACTACATGGGAGTCCAGCGACATAGCCATTACGCTAACTGCTGGTCCCATTCTAAAGTCCCTCATGCTGTACACTGTACTCATTTTATCAGACATGTAAATAAAAATGTGAAAGCTTGAGTGACTAATCAGTCAACCACAGAAAAACCTACATCAGCCTTGTTTTCCTAGACTATTAGGACAACTTAGGAAATCTGCTCTTGCAGATATATTAGTGTCCATGCCCTTACTTATTAAATTTTTATTCTAAGGGTTAGGGTCTCACTGCCATCACTTTGGTTATAAAATTGGGAAGCTAGATTTCAGGAGAGTAGGAAAGCAAGGCTGGGTCCCTTGGAATGCAGGAGGGTGAGGGTTTGAAAAGAGGTGTGTCACAGGAGAGGCTTGGTCCTTACTGTCCAGTTCCATTTGTGGAATAAGAAAATATTTGTGCTTTTATCTACTACCTACCATTGAGGGGTTCTTGAATCTGTGACTTATCAGAGGTGGGTGGAGGAACCGTATCTGAATAATCTACTGCAACAAGTGGAGAAAAGAACAGGCTTTAGTGCATATGAATTTGTGCAGTTATTCACATTTTCTTCTATCTTATTCCTTCCACTCGGAGGTTTCTCTGAATACCCGGCTCTCTTAGAAGTTGCAAAATGTTTGCCTACTTTTATACAGATTATCAGCCCAAGACAGTGACTTGGCCATGTTCCTGCGAGCAATGTAAGTAAATGTCCGACTGAACAGCCCAGGGTAGCATCTCTCTACTATGAAGCCTTCCCCCCACACACAATAGAAATCACTGAGCAACTTCTCATGCACACCAGCTTCCTACTATCCTGGGTGTTTTAGGTAAAAAAATAGTAAAAGTAGACACAGACCATATTATTACTTTTTGATATATGATTTATATAGGCAGATTTAGAAAATATACAATCTTCTCCATAAATATGAGACATCTTCAAAAACCTTGTGGAACGAGTATATTATGAAGAGCTGTGCATGGATTTAAAAAATGTTTTACACCAAAATAAACTTGTACATTAATTCCATCTTTCCACAAACTTTTTAAAATCCCTTCATATTTGCAACCACTCACATTATACTTTTATTATTTCATTTTATAAATATATATTATTTATATACACACACACACATAATGATTCCCAGGATTTTTGAAGTCCCTTCATATTTATAACCATTTACATGATATTTTTATTGTTTTATTTTATATATACATGTATGTGTGTGTGTATATATGTATATGTACATATATATTTAGGGTTGTCAGAAAAATCATATTAAAACATGGAAAAATAGTCATGACTTTTCTGATGGCCCTATACACACACACACACACACACACACACATACACATACATATATATGTGTATATATAAAATGATTCCCAGATTTTCTCTGTTGAGAATTCTAATTTGGTTCTCTCAGTCTCTTGCTCTCATTCACCTTCTGAGGAGAATCCTGACTTGTCATATTAGCAACTTTGCATAAGAAGAATTGAGAATAAAAGGGGAAGATAAGAAGGATGAGACATGGGAGCTAGAGCTGAGATTAGAACCTCCTGGGAGAGCCCAAGATGAGTATGATATGAAGTGGCTTTAATATTTTAAAAAATGGTTGATACTTTCATTCCTGTGTCAAAGTCTTTATGAAATATAAGAAAAGAAACTGAGCTATTTAAAAATCACTTCAGTTGCTGAGCTATGTTCTTCTGAATACAACATCATCCTCTAAGACTGGGCAACATGAGCCTTAACTATTAGCCACCCAACGTACCGTCGTCAGATGTGGCTAGATCCTTTTCTTCATCTGGGACTGGATCAGAATTCATGCTATCTTTATTTTCTGAATTCAAAAATAAATAAAACATGTTAGGTTTAGAACATAATCGATGACTTGTGAGATGTTCTAAGTGAGGGTTTTCCAAACTTTGTTGATTATGACTTACAGTGAAAACGTAGGTCTTACGTGCTAGCTCACTATGTACTTATGTACATATAAACGATACAAACAAACGAAAAACTACAGGAAATGATACTTACCTTTTTCTACTCTACTTTGACTTAACCTTTTCTCGTGTACTTACCTTTTTCTATTATCTTTTAGTTCATTGGAAACCAATTCTGGTCCTCTTATTCTTTTCTTATAAATTTTATTCTAATTTAATGGGGTACATGTTAGTGGTGCATTTATTTCATTAACCACTAATACTTTTACAACCCACCTAAGGTTATGGAAATTGTTTCTGCAATATGAAAAGCGCTAAAATAAGTTATATTTGATGCTAATGCTCATTCAACAAATGGTCCCTCATACAACCTGAAATCACCCCACTGAAGTGTTTTGGTCTACATAAAAGTATGATTTAGTAAGAGATCTAAGAACCACACATTTTACTTAGCTACTTAAATTGTTCTCACGTAATTAGTCTTGGAAATACACACTCTCCAATTTAGCTTCTCTTTCTCCATCCTGGAAAGCTGCCAGTCACCTTCCTCAAGACACATCTCATAGGTTTTCTGTTCTCTCACAAGCCCTTAGTGCTTCAGTCCTTTCCTTAAGTATTAGTTAACATTAGTCGGCCCAACTGCAATAATGGTATGACCCTCAGACACTCACAGACACTGTCTAGCTGGCTAGATTTCTTAACAGATCTATTCTAGCTGGGACTGAGTTTGCCATGATACTTGGACAGTGATCTGAACTCCCTGATAGTCTTCTACAGGGCTTATGATACCCGATCCTGTCTAGTTTATGCTTTGTCCCACCATCCGTCACATTGCTCACTAACCATTCAGACAAATAGATAGCCCCTACCTATCTTTTTAGATTTACTTAACCTTTTTGCATCCTCTGCTATAGCCCAGCTACCTACCTAATGCCTTCTGGATATAACATTATACCACTGAGGTGGTGTAATTGATCATTTGAAATGCCTCCTTTGTCTGTGTTCTTTCCCCTCTGGTGGGGTACTTTTTACAACCTCCTTATCTGCGTGCACAACTTCTTTTCATTAAATTACATGAGTAATTCTTACTGAGCTTTTCCGATCTAGTGCCCATGTCATCTCCTTTGGAAAGCCTTTCCTAACACTGCCAGTCTATGTCAGGAATAGGACCTCTATACAGTCTCATTATCGCCTTGGCCTCCCTCTATCATAGGACTTCCTTTTGCTAGGGTTCGATGTTTAGGTTCCCTCTAAAATTTATACATTCAGACCTAAAACCCAATGTGTTGGTATGAAGAGGTGGGGCCTTTGGGAGGTGATCAGGTCACAAGAGCAGAGCCCTCATGAATGGGATTAGTGCCCTTCTACACAGGCCTAAGGAAGTTCATTGGACTTTGTCTACCATGTGAGGACATAGCAAGAAAGCACCATCTAAGAACCAGAAAATGAGTCCTCACCAGGTACCGTATTTGTTAATTCCTTGATCTTGAACTTTTTAGTCTTCAGAACTGAGAAATTTCTGTGGTTGATAAACCACCCGGGTTATAGTGTTTTATTACAGAAGCCTGAATGGACTAAGACATCTCTCCGTAGAATAATTTTCACTTTGCTATTTCTCGTGCTAGATGATGAGCATTTTTTTTTTTTTGAGAGGTTTTTGCTATAGGGCGCGTGCGCTCGCCAGACAGACAGAGAGAGACATAGAGACAGAAAGCGAGAAATCACCCCCCAGGGGGGATGGTCACGCCGCAATCCCTTCTCCTCCATTCTCCTCTCGGGATCTTGGGCACGCACGCACACGCGCCCGGCGTGAGTTTTAAGCCACTGGGTCCGGGACACGAACCGCGGTCGACTACGTGGGAGTCCAGCGACATAGCCATTACGCTAACTGCTGGTTCCCAATGATCAGCATTTTTGAGGGCAGCGGCTATTTGATTAGTTTTATGTCTCTGGTACCTAGTATGGTTTCCTTTGTTCCTTCTTCCCCTTCTTTCCTCCCTCCCTTTTTCTCTCTTTCTTCCTTCCTTCTGGTTAAAAAAAACTACCTTAACAAAAATTTTTAGTATAAAACACAATTTTCTTACCTATTTATATGTGCATTTTACAATGTTGTTACCTATTTATATGTGCATTTTATACAGCTGATCTTTAAAACTTTTTCACTTCACATGACTGTAATCATGGTTTCTGACTTTTTTTTTAAAATGCCATTTGTCTATCGTTAGCCATCTTAAGATCCAACTAGATTTCAAGATATGAGTAAATTTTCTCTTTCACACATTACAAGGATCTTTCCTTTGTGAATATTTAGTTTATCTGCTATGGATACTCCTTCCTTTTGACTTATCTTGCACTGTTTTACTAAACTTTTTAATTTATTGTGTGTTTTGACATTTGCCTTTTTACATTGTGAGGGCTTACGTTTCCTGGAACAGTTTCTGAGGCTGAAACTTCCTTATTGTGTCCTCTACTGTCTCTCATACTAACCAGAAAATAGAAGGTGCTCAGTGGATATCTAGTTGTCTCCTCCAAAGATTTAAACACATTTTACTTTCTATTTATTTATTTTAAAAAAAAAATTTGGAGAGGTTTTCTGCTATAGGGCGCGTGTGCTCACTAGAAAAACAGAGAAACAGAGAGACAGAAAGCAAGAAATGGCCATGCCACAATCCCTTCTCCTTCATTTTCCTCTCGGGACCTTGGGCAGGCATGCACACATGCCCAGCGTGAGTTTAAGCCACTGGGTCTGGGACTCGAACCACAGTTAACTACGTGGCAGTCCAATGACATAGCCATTATGCCAACTGCTGTTCCCTACTTTTTATTTTTTTAAATGTTGCCAGAGAATGAGTGTGCTTGCCCGAGAAAGACAGAGAGGCAAGGTGAGGAAGCACCTGCCATGGGGAGTAGTCACACTGCAGTCCTGCTTCCCCATTTCTCTCTCCTCCTGGGATCTTGGGCATGCACACACGTGTACAACTTGTTTCTCAAGCCACTGGGTCTGGACTCAACAATGCTCTCAGCTATGTGGGGTCCAGCTGCCTTCACTCCCACACTATAGGCAGGCCCTAAACATATTTTAAATAAGATCTTACTTTTGAGTATAAGATGAGGATTGATGAATGACTTAATTTCCATTTTGTGGCAAATGGATGAGCAAATTCTTTTTTTTTGTTTGTTTTTTGAAATGTACTCTTCTCTCTTGGGTTTCAGTTGAGTATACCTACCGTCTGACACCGTTTGTTCTTCCTCATTGTCATCTGTGATGGGCAAGGATCTCCTTTCACTTCGTTTGGCTATGCCACTTTCTACAAGTCAGGAAATTAAGTACTGAGTTAACTGAAGAGATTACACAAACCCCATACAGGAATCATTTCTTTGATGTTAATAAGTGGAGATCTCCAAGCTGTGTGGGGGTGCAAAGCTCTGATTATTTCCAGTGCTCTGATTTTGGCATCCCTGCACAGTGTGTTTTGGGGCAAGGTTCAAAGATGACCAAGTTGAGATCAATCAAATACATAAACAGATGAATAAATAAATACCTTGACCTTCGTTAATAAAAACACAGCATAAACCAACTCATTTTATTCCATAAAACTCTCTATATTTCAAGTTTACATGGGAAATTTAGAACTATCTGTCAGTGGAGTCCAGTTTAGGATGACTGCATTGGAGCCTGTGCTAGTGGGAAGAATTTACAGCTCTAGTCTGCCAACTGCAGGGGGGGCCACAGAGAGGGCTTCTAAATTCTGAGAATTAAAGAATTCCAGCTAAAACTAACTGCCCACCAGACTTCTATTTAGCCGTCTGTGCCTGCCCCCTCTTGTCTCCTTGCCCCTCTGAGCTTTGTTCTGTTTGGCCAATCCCTGGTGCTTGACCATTAGCCAGAACCATCTCAATTCCCAAACTCCAGCCTCTGCCCCCACCTCTGTCCCTGTAGGTCCCTGCCCTTCTGCCTATTGCCCATAGTGACCTTACTAAACTCTCCCTGGTCTGAACCAGTGGCCATCCTTTGTCCCTGTTTTCTTTTTTACCAGTTTGTCTAGTCTGAGAGATAATAACTATTTTTAATTGGTTGGAATATGTACCATCAAATATTTTTAATGTTGCCCTGCCTATCCCCTTTATTTTATTTCTATTTAGTATTTTCTTGTTTATCCAATCTAGACCTCTGTAAATTATCCTCAACTTCTTTGCTTCATCTCTTTCCTTCCCAAATGGCGAATGAAATAATAAAACTGTGCTCAATTTCCATTTCCATATTCAACACTGATAACCAAAATCACCTTAGAAGCTATTTAAGGCATTAGTAAAGCAAAGACAAAAATATAAGAAAAATAATAACTTTTTAGAAATAATTTAATATACAAAATACAGTCATAATGGAAAAATTCCAAATTTTGTTGAAATATAATGGTGCCCATTCTGTGTATGCACAAAATTTATAGGATCATAGCATTTCTTTTTTTTTTTTTTTTAAGAGAGATTTTTGCTATTGGGCTCGTGTGGTCGCTGGAGAGACAGAGAGTCAGAAAGTGAGAAATCATCCCCTAGGGGATGGCCACACCACAATCCCATCTCCTACATTCTCCTCTCAGGATCTTGGGCAGGCATGCACATTTATGTGCCCGATGTGAGTTTCAAGCTGATGGGTCTGGGACTTGAACTATGGTCAACTACATGGGAGTCCAATGACGTAACCATTATGCCATCTGTTGATCCCAGATCATAGCATTTCTCTAAGATGTAATTTCTTTAGCCTTCAAAGGACATACTGAATGTGGCAGTTTATTTTGTCAATAATTTAGTGTAAAAATGATAAAAATAGATTAGAGTTACCTATATTAATAGTGAATCAGTTACAACAAACATTTTTTTAATCTTTTTTCTTGGAGAGGTTTTTGCTATAGGGTGCATGCGCTCACCAGAAAGACAGAGAGAGACAGAGAGACAGAAAGTGAGAAATCATCCTGGGGTGGGGGGGAGGCAATGCGGCAATCCCTTCTCCTCCATTCTCGTCTCAGGATCTTAGGTACACATGCACACACTCCCAGCGTGAATTTTAAGTGACCGGGTCTGGGATTCCCACAGTAGACTACGTGGGAGTCCAGCGACATAGCCATTATTCCATCTGCTGGTCCCACAACAAACATTTTAATATTCTTTTAATAGTAGCCCAATAAAACATCAGATTTAAGAGGTTACCTGATTGGTAGGGTTGAAAATTCATCACGTCTCCAAGTGCAACAAGTTTCTCCTATTGAAAAATTTTGTAATCAGAGAATTTAAGGACTATAATTCCTAACAATAATTATTTAATAGAAAAACGCATTGATTCTTGCTTTTTAAATAACCAAAAAATGTTTTTAACACAGCAGAACTTATATAATCAAATAAATAGTGTTCTTCTGTTGATTTCTTCAAACTTAAAATTAGGATTTTATTTTAATTTATTTCTTCCATCAGTGGGAGAGACAGAGAACATCTCTAACAGGGTTTTGACACTGTGACCCAACCCTGTTCTTAGCCAGCCCTGGATCGTGGACATAGCATGCCCAGCATATTCAGGGAGGTCTCTGGACACAACCCCAAACCTCCTCAAAGTGAGTCCACCTTGATGAGAATTGCATTTTACCACTGTGCCCATTCAAATTTTTATTGCCTCATTATTTTTAGGAATAAATTGCAAACTGAATCCATGGAAATCCAATGTATGCTTTGGCCTGCAGTAATCAGTTCAAGGTCATTATCTCAATAAGTTCCCTTGTATCTATTCTGACATTACCTGAATCAGATCAGTTGTTATTGTAGTCATTATCTGTTCACTTATTTCAACATCTTTAAGATCTGTAAGAACCACCCAAGTTCCATTCTCGAATTTCACAGGCATAGAAAAAACAATCCCTTCTGGAATACCAAACTGGCCTAAAGTGAGCAAATAAAAAGCAAAGAAAAATGAAAGAACTCAGAAAAATAGTCTTCCTATTAAGCAATGTAGAAAAGGACAGATGTGTGGGTGGTGGTTAAGGCACTGGACTCCCATGTGGTGACTCCAGTTCTAGTCCCAGGCCCGGAGGCTTTGGACTCATGCCTTGTGCATGAGTATGCATGTCCAAAATCCTGAGAGGATAATGGAGGAGAAGGGACTACAGCATGACCATCTGCCCTGGTGGGTGATTTCTTGCTTTCTGTTTCTCTGTCTCTATCTCTCTGGTGAGCACACATGCTCTATGGTAAAAATCTTCCAAAAAAAGAAAGAAAGAAAAAGACAGATGTAACCATGTTTTTCCCTGAAGAATTGTTTATTTCATTTATTATTATTATTATTATTATTATTATTTAATTTGCTAATAGGGCATGTACGCTCACCAGAGAAAGACAGAGAGAGAGAGAGGGAAGGTGAGAAAATAAGCTACAGGACTGGTACTTGAACCATGGTTGGCCACGTGGGAGTCCAGCGCCTTACGTATCATGCCATTTGCTGGCCTATAGCCATGATTTTTTTTTTAGAGAGAGATTTTTGCTTTAGGGCAGGTGTGCTCGCTGGCGAGACGGAGAGATAGAAAGATAGAAAATGAGAAATCATCCCCTGGGGGGTGGGGGGTGGCCACACTGCTATCCCTTCTCCTCCATTCTCCTCTTGGGATTTTGGGCTCACACACACGTGCCCGGCATGAATTTAAGCTTCTGGGTCTGCAACTTGAACCGTGGTCAACTACATGGTAGTCCAGCGATGTAACCATGGTTCCAATAACCATGACTTTTCATGACAATGTTGGAACTGAGTTTCTTTGACTTTCTCTCCAAGATAGACTGAACATTCTAGAAGAAATGAATGAGCATCTATTCCAATTTTGACAGTTCTCCCTTCAGTATTTCTTTCACATGAAAGGGTTAATGCAGGAACATTATCTGTATTCCTTCCATCTGTCTCCCAGAGCATTTCCTTGACTCCCTTTATAACCCATGAGCCCAAGTCATTTGCCCAACCTTGCCTCCCATTCTAGGGCAATCCCATCACCAGGGAATGAACGAATAAGAATGGAAATGGGAGGGTGGCGTGGGATGGAGTGGTGAGAGAGTGAGGGACAGGGCAGGAAAGCTGGTTATTTCCTTGTAGTTCCCAATTTAGTATTTACCTGTGTTCTACAGGTGGTGTGGTGGCTGAGGGACTGAACTCCCATGTGACCAACCACGGTTTGAGTCCCAGACCTGGTGGGTTGCTTTTTCACTTTCTCTCTCTCTCTCTCTCTCTTTCTAGTGAGTAGACATACTTTATAGCACAATTTTAAAAATAAATACATAAAATTCTTTAACTAACTAAGCATGCCATTCAGATAAAATCACCCCTTTTTGGTGCTTCAATTAAATAAGAAAGTTACTATTACACTCTAGACACCCAAAATTTGTGAATAAAAAAATGATGACAGTTGGGCCAGCAGGTGGTATAGTGGTTAAGACACTGGACTCCCATGTGGCTAACTGTAGCTTGAGTCCTAGACTTGACAGCTTGAAAATCATACTGGGCACGTGTGTGTGCATGCCCAAAATCCCAACAGGAAAATGGAGGAGAAGGGATTGCAGTGTGGCCATCCCCCTGTGGGGATAATTTCTCATTTCCCCCTCTTTCTCTTTGTCTCTTTCTCTCTCCAGTGAGCACACATGCCCTATGGCAAAAACCTAAAAAGAAGAAAAAAAAAAGGTTCATGACAGTCAGGAGACCTAGATCTATAACACTTTTCCTTGCAGGATTTCCTGGGTCCTTGTGCATTATGTGTTGGCCTTACCTGTGAAGAGCTAGTCTTATGGGCAGATGACATATGAATTTACCTGGATAGTATGGTTTAAGGGAGACAGACAATGATCGCTTCTCTCCTTCCCCCAATACTACATTGTTTACTTTTGAATGAAATTCCTATGGTGATTAACAGAGATGATTTTATACAAATAAAGATAGAGTTTAAAATACTTGTTCCCTAAAAAGCTTACATACTATTGGGTTGTCTGAAAAGTCATGACATATTTTTCTATCCTTTACTATACGACTATACAGCATGCCTTTTCTGACAACCCAATGTTTGAATTTGCACTATGGCAATGTTCCTGTACCTTAACCTGAAAAGGCTCACTGGGCCTCCGTCTACCATATAAAAAGCTGCTCCAGGAAGGTGCATGTAGAGACCAGACAAAGCCTTAGTGGGCACACAGTCTAATGAAGGGGACTCTGCAAGGAGCCACACTGTTAAAAAGGGGGCAAATACAGCATGCTGTCAGAGAGAGGAACAAAACACTACGTGAATATAGAGGAGAGGCAGGTTAATTCTGAATTAGGAGATTTGGGGCGCTTTCCTTGCACGGCACTGGAACAACAGGAAGATGGCTGTTCTACAAAGACAGCAGTGAAAGAGGAGGATCACACTGAGAAGGACAGTGAGTTCCACTTGATGTATGTTGGCCTGAACTGATGCGTGACATCTGGGTAGCAATGTTTCCCAGGCTAGGGCTCAGCAGAGGCCCACCTGAAGTTGTGGAAGTGAATCAGCCTGCTAAGAGAGAGAGAGTAAAGCACAAAGGGAAGAGGTGCCTTGGATGGAACCTTCGAGGACAGTACATCGGCTACTCTCTATTCTGTTTTGCAGAAACGTAGGTCTTCTAGAGAGTTTTTAGCAGATTAAAACATTAAGGCTGTAAAATTTAATATACAACATTAGCAGATGAGGAACAACCTTCCCTCATTTCTTGTTCTAGTCCCCTAAGATCTGGGTCCTGTTGTGCCCCTCTGCATCTTGCCTCTGTGTCTTTATGCCTGTGGCTCCCCGTGACAGTGTGTTTCCCATATTAGTCTTTCAGGTTGGCACTATTCAAACTTAAAGGCTTCCTGGAAGTCATCTCCTATTTGAAGCCTGTTGAGATTCTTTTTGCTCTCTGCCTAGAATCCACCTTGCTTGCCCTTTCTTGGCTGGATAAAGTGAGAAAAAACTTAACTAGACTATTTTGTTTGTGTAATTGATTCTCCTTTATACTACTATAGGTTTCCTGAGGGTAAAGGCTAGATATTCTTTCTTTGTGTGCTTCCAGGGCATTCATACAAAATATCGTTGGATTTCTGAATGAATAAATGAGTGATCATGGAACTGCAAAAGTCCAGACAGCTTATAGATCATGTTAAGAGCTTAAAAGGAGGAGGACACAGAACTAGAAGCACAAGGCATACATGGAGGTTTTTAAATATTACCAAGTATGAAAAGCCCAAAATTACCTTCGCTCATTACTCCTAAAGATACAATCTCCCCAGGCGGTGAGCCGTGGTACCAGTATTTCAACGTAGTGGCTATACTGTGAGCAGCTAAAATGCCTCCAAATTGTTTTCCTGTTTCAGTCAATTTTTTAAGAGTTTCCACAAATTCTTTTTTTAACCACTCACTGAAAGGAGAGAAAGAAACAATCTTATGATGGGAAAACAAACAGAAATAGAAAAAAATGTTTCTCGGGTCAATGGATTCAACTACAAGGCACCATATTCATAATCAACAAAGAAATCTGATATCATGTGCCCTTTATCAAGTGTCTTCAATCTCCATAAAAAGTCAATTGAAAAACATAAAATATAGCCCAAAGGAGGCCTAAAATTTCAAACTAAAAAGTTGACAATATAAATACGTCATCCAGAAAAGTGGTCAAAGATCACAGGAACAACTACTTTCACTACAAAAATTTTATTCTCTGTAGATGTTACCCTGGACGTAGTGGTACCCCTTACTTAAAATGAAGTAATTTCATAAGGCATTGAATTATTCAGATTGACAATTAGGAAAATAATTTTATTTTTATGGTCTGAGGTCTAACTTAGGGAATAGTCCAGCTGGACTAGGTATTAGAGGGCTGCCCCTGCAACCCAGCAGGTCACAGCTTCATGCAACCCTGACTCTGCTCAGGCAGCAAATGCAGAGGAATCAGGCTCCAGGAGGGTGAAGCCAGGACTCCTAGGGTTAGATGAACTAGGCATAGATGAACTTTCAGGCAGAGGTGAACTTCCTATGTTCTGAGAAAGGGAAAGAAAGCAAGGGCAATAGAAAAGAAATGCTACAACTGGGGAAGTTCTGCAAAGTTTAGGGAAGTTCTTCAAAGGTCCACCTGCCTGTTTCTCCTCTTCTTCCTCACCATAATGCTAGTGTGCAGTGTGGCAGGCCTGCTCTAAGTGCTTTACTTATATCAATCCATTTCATCCTCCCAATAGCTCTAAAAACCCATATTATGTTACCATTTTCCCTTTGCACATGAAAACCTGAGGCACAGAATGATTAAGTAACCTCTCTAAGCCCACACGGCTAGTAAGTGGCTAAGTGGGAATTCCAGCCTAGGTGGTTGGTCCGAGGACTATGCTTCTTACCATTGTTTGAGCACCTCTTAGGACAGTACCCCCACCATGGACTGGGCAAAGTAAAGTTCTCCATACATGGTTGCATTGCTGAATTCCCACATGGTTGACCATAGTTTGAGTTCCAGACCCTGAAACTTCCTGGCTTGGAACTTATGCCAGGTGCTTATGCATGCATGCCCAAAACTGCGAGAGGAAGATGGAGGAAGAGGGATTGTGGTGTGGCCATCCACCCGGGAGGTGATTTCTTACTTTCTGTCTGTCTCTCACGTGAGCACATGTTCCCTATAGCAAAAAAATTCTCAATGAAAGGAAAAAAAGAGTCTGAAACGTAAATATTTATAATTTCTTTTTTCTTTTATTTACCAGAGGGCGCTTGTGATCACCAGAGAGAAAGAGAGAAAGCATGCCCCATGGGAGAAGTCAAGCTGCAATCCCTTATCCTCCATTTCTCAGTCCTTTCTAGGTTTGGGGGGCATGCACTCATGCACATCTACATGTCTGTTTCTCAAGCCACCAGGTCTGGGACTTGAACCATTCGCTCAGCTACATGGGATCCAGCTCCTCCCTTAACCACCAGGTCATCCCTGGTGGGGATTCATAACGTTCATAATTTCAAAAGCCTGGGGTAGGGATAGATGAGTTGATATTTTGTTGAATTTTTTTTTCTTCAGTAGAGAGTATAGACACATATGAATGTAAGCAGTGCAAGTTATTTCTGTACAAAGACTTAAAACATGATTTAAAAGACTAACTAGTATACAGTTAGTTAACATGGCTGAAATACTTAAAAATATAACTTACCTATCAAAAATCAAGCTTAACACAGGGCGTGAATAATTATGAGGCCCCCAGATGGCACTCTCGTATCTGTAAACCCTTGCTTTTCTCAGATCTATATAGTTATTGCCACTGATATTACCCCAAATTATCACATCTTTGATACCTATGAAGAAAAAGAAATAAAAATAAATAAAATGCACATTAATATAAAAAATTACTGAAGCCTATTTTGTGTTTCCTTTTTGCGTGTTTTAGGGTTTTTTGGTTTTGTTTTGTTTTGCTATAAAAGGAATCTAAATTTATGCTCCCAAAAACTATTCAAAAAGTGTGGATCACATTGAGGCTTGCATGTTTTTTAATTATTATTTATTTATTTAGAGAGAAATTTTTACTATAAGGTGTGTGTGCTCATTGGAGAGACCGAGAGACAGAGGGACAGAAAGCAAGAAATCACCCCTCAGGGTGGATGACCACACCACAATCCCTTCTCCTCTAGTCTCCTCTTGGGATGTTTGGGCATGCATGCATGCTCACCTGGTGTGAGTTTTAAGCTACTGGGGTCCAGGACTCAAACTGCGGTCATCTATGTGGAAGTCCAGAGACATAACTATTATGTCATCGGCTGGTCCCCTTGCATTATTTTTGTTTGTTTGTTTATTTAAAGAGAGACATTCCAAACAGGCCATCATTTTGTGACCCAACCCCAATCTCAGTCGGGATTGCAAGCATGTGGGTGCACCCAGCATGAACAGGGAGACCTCAGGATGTAATCCTAGGACCTTTGCATAGGGCTTCAGCATCACAGAGCTTTGCATTACAGCTGTGCCACTGCAGGTGGCTGGGTTAAGCATTATTATCCCAAATAGTGCTCTATGAATGGTATAGGTATATGACTAAATTCAAGGACTAATAAAATGTCCCTGGAAGATATTGCTATTGCAAAATTGTATCGCTGGTGCTGGCCCCAACTTTTACTCTGCTAGCCATTGGGAGGGAGACGGGGTGTTATGAGAAAGACTATGAGAGGTTGAGGGAGGGAAATCTTTTTATCTATTTTGACTTTTGAGGAGTCCTTGATTCTAGACTGGAATAGAATCCTCGGCAAATCACTTAACACTGCATGGATTTCACCCACTGCAAAATGAGTGTTGTAAGTAGAGGATCCTGGGGAACATTTTAGTTAACAAATAGTTATGACTTACATTCTGTGGTTTGCTAGCCTCATCTAGAATGATCCCTGACTAATAGCTTTGCTGCATTTTCTCCTTCATACCATTTTGGTCAGCTCTGCATTTGGGGTTGCTGGTTTTCTTTCTTGCTGCCTCACCGATGATTGTACTTTGCCACTGTCCTTCTAATGTTTCTCTATCCTTTCCTCAACTTTCCTCCATTTTCCTTTCTCTGTTTCTCTGTTTATTGGCTTTGAGTAGAACAGAGTTCATGGATGGGATCTGCAGGTGGTATAATGGTTACATTGCTGGACTCCCACATAGTTGACCATGGTTCAAGTTCCTGACCTGGCAGCTTAAAACTTGCACCAGGTGCATGCACATGTGTGCCCAAGATCCTGAGAGGAGAATGGAGGAGAAGGGATTGTGTTGTGGCCATCCCCCCGAGGGATGATTTCTGCTTTCTGTGTCTCTCTTTCTGGTGAGCACATGTGCCCTATACTTACAGCAAAAATCTCTCCTAAAAAAAGAAAGAAAGAAAGAAAGGAAGGAAGGAAGAAAGAAATTTCAGAGCTCATGGCATCAAGCAGACCCTTTAGAGAGCAGCGGTTCACTGGAAAGTCCCTTGTCTGTTTCTTTCCACACAAACCTTGTTTAAATTTTGTGTCACTGACTGCTCTTAACACTTCATTATCTATAGAGGCAACTGTAGGGTTGATGACAGAGGTTTTTTTTTTTTTTTTTTTTTTTTTTTTTTTTAGGAAAAATTGTTCATATTCTATTGAATCATTTCGGCATCAATTTGGCTGAATTTTACTCTGACCCTGAGCATAAGACACTAAAGCTACATATGCAAGGATAGCAGAAGTTCGGACTTCTAGGGCTTCATTGTAAAGAAATGGATAATACTGCTTTGGCTATGTCAGGGACTCACTGAAGTCCTTGACTGCCAAGATGTGGACCATTCCAGGCTCACATTTCATTGTCTTCCCCATTTTGCTTGAGAGAATGCCTTGTACCTCATTCCATTCTCAGTAGGTGTTGCACCTGCTCCATTTAAGGGTACACACAGCTAATATATGTCAGATGTAAACTCACTTCCTACATACAATCCATTTTCTAATCCAGTCTCATTTTTGCATCATTATGAAATGTACCAGTTCAAAGAGCAATAGGAATGGAAATGGTTCAGATATCACGATCCTACTGATAAATTTTATACCCTTGCAAATGTGTACCGAATGCTGGGCACTTTCCTAAGATGTGTACAAATATTACCTTATTAAATCCACATACCAATTTAGGAGATAGGTGCTGTTAACCTCCTCATTTTACAGATGAGGAAACTGAGGCACACTGAGGTTAAATGATTGCTCAAGGTTGCACAGGTGAGAAGTGGAGCACAGCTACTTTAACACAGCCCTGACACATACATACATACATACATACATACATATATACATACATACACGAGCACTTGCCAGAGAGACAGAGAGAGAAGGAAAGGGAGAAACAACCTCTCCAGGGTGGGGGTGTGGGGGAGAGGCATACCACAATTCCTTCTCCTCCATTCTCCTTTTCAAATTTTGGGCACATGCACCCATGATCACAGTGTGTTTTCCAAGTTGCTCATTTGGACTCCAGCTGTGGAGTCGGCCATGTGGGATCCAGTGCCTTAACCACCATGACACCTGCTGACACTGCCCTAATATTAACTGATGACCTTAATTGACTATGGTCATAAAAAATAATGGAATATTAAGTTTCCAATGAGTACTTGAATAATACAGATCTTATTACATTGTTTATTGATATAATGATGGCCCAGGTCAGTTAGTCAAGAATTCCAGTAAAAAATGATTTGCTTGCACAGCAGTGAATTCAAACACTAAGTTCTTTGCATCTGCTTCATAATTCAATTTCTGACATTCAGAATGATCGAGAGGACTCAGAGTCCTCCCCAGATGCTTTGAGATCATACTGTTTCAGAACACACTCAGGAGCTCACTCACAGGAGGGCGTGGTCTTCAGCTTTCTTGCCAGTGCAGCTTTGGCCTCCCCTTCGACGCCCATTGCCACTGCGATGATATTGTGCGCGATCTTTGGGGCGTATCTCATAAGCAAGGCGGTTTTCAGGTTCACAAAAGTTTTTCCTCCGACAATAACTCTGACAGAATCGTCAGCGTTTTTCTCAATCAGGTATCCGTAGAGCCTGCACAGAGGCACCCTGCTGCGGAGGCAGTCCTCTAAAGTATGCACTTCGTAGTCAGTGCTGTCATCGAGAATGATGACGACCTGGGCGTGGCGGAAGGCCTCCTCCACTTTGGTGCAGATGGACACACTGCGGACGGCAGGTGACACCAGGTACTCGGTCTCTGACACAAGGCTTTGGAGCCATTCTTCCGACTGCTTGTTATCAAACAGAGTGATGCTAATTTCCGTCTCCATCCCAAACACTTCGCCCGTGGTCAGTAAGGGGATAAGGTTGCAGCAAGCAGGCGCAGATGCGCTGGTAAAAACGCAAAACTAGATTAGGAGTCGTTAGGCCCTTTGTCCCTGTGAGCCTTTATTTTTAATAGATTAGATATTTCTGCACATTACCAGGGTAATTTAATATTTTCAATACATATACAGCTGTGTAACTGTATAGACTTTTTTTTGAAGAGGTTTTTGCTATAGGGAGCATGCGCTCACCAGAAAGAGAGAGACACAGAAAGTGACAAATCACTCCCCAGGGGGGATAGCCATGCCGAAATCCCTTCTTCTCCATTCTCCTCTGGGATCTTATGCATACACCCCCAGTGTGAGTTTAAGCCACCAGGTCCGGAAGTCAAACCACAGGTGACTACATGGGAGTCCAGTGACACAGCCATTAAGCCAACTGCCAGTCCCAGCTGCATAGACATTTTTAAGGATAGAAATCAAAAGTAGATTTAAAAAAATTCTCATTACTAACTCCTTGCTCTAGCCATATGAGAAAAATCCCCCAAATTAAAAAATGTAAACTTTATACCTTTTGGGCCAGCAGGTAATATGGAGATTAAGGCAGCTGGATCCCGGGAACCAACAGTTAGAGTAATAGCTATGTCACTGGACTCCCACATAGTCGACCGCGGTTCGCATCCCCGACCTGGTGGCTTAGAACTCAAGCCGGGCGCGTGTGTGTGCATGCCCAAGATCCCGAGAGGAGAATGGAGAAGGGATTGCGGCATGACCATTCCCTCTGGGGGGTGATTTCTTGCTTTCTGTTTCTATGTCTCTCTCTGTCTGTCTGGAGAGCGCACGCGCCCAATAGCAAAAACCTCTCCAAAAAAAAAAAAAAGGTAGCTGGATTCCACATTGCTGACTGTGTAGTTCAAATCCTGGACACAGCAGCTTGAAAATCACAACAGACATGTGTGCGTGCGTGCCCAAAATCCAAAGAGGAGAAGAGACTGCAGCATGGCAATCCCTCCTGGGGGAGAGGGGCAGTGATTTCTCGTTTTCTTTCTCTTCTCCTCTCTTTGTTTTTCTCTGGCAAGCACATGTGCCCTATTGCAAAAACAAAACAAAACAAAACAAAACAAAAACTTAAAAAAATAAAAAGTGTACTTGATGATAAGGTTTTTTTTTTTTTTAAATAACACGGAATTCCCCAAATGTAGAAAGCAAAATGTCAAAAAACAAACAAACAAACAAACAAAAAAACATATCGTAGTACTCTATCTACATGTTTATATTTCCTCTTGAAAAGTTAGACATAAGACTCCGTTAATTATGGCTATTTTTATTTTATACCCTTATCTACAAACTAATAGCATTTTTTGGAAAAGGTCATTCTTAGAAAGAAAAACCCTTACAAAGATGGCTAGGATCAAGGCAGGTTATGTATAGTGGATCTGTGATCATATTTCAGCAAGTGTCTGGATACTCTAAAGCTGTACTCTGGGCTATAATGACCTCCCATGGGGAGTCTGGAAATGCATCTGGGCGTTTCTGGTCATCATAGTGAGTTTGGGGAGGGGCACAATGGGGTCTCAATACTATCTGTAATTTTAACGCTTTGAAAAATATCTAAAGAAGATGTGATATCTATTAAATCTGAGAAGGTCATGGATGTTTACATCATATGTAATTCTTTTCTAAATCTGAAACAGTTAATAATAACTCTTTTTAATGACTGTATATATTAGGATATGTACATGTATAATGAGAAAGATGATATGAGAGATAGCTTGATGGGTGGAGAAAGGAGAAGGGGAAGGGAAAGGAGAGGGGGAAGGAGAGCGAGCAAGAGAGACGGAGTGCCTAGTTTGAGGAAGTGACGACAAAGACCACATGTGCCCTACACTGGAGCAATGAGGAACAAACAGCAGAAGGAGAAATGTCAGAGGGAGCAAGGTGAGAGGAGTGGAGGCCAGAGTGAGTGAGTACATGAGGAAGAGCCAAGGAGAGCTCTAGCAAGTGGGAAAAGGGAGAGAACAATGGTCAGTGAGGACAACTGTCAAAGTGGTCATGTGAGGAAGTTGCTCTTAGATTAACTGTTTGTGTGTGTATAAGATCAAAACTCATGCAAGGGCTTGTACTGGATGTACATATAAACAAGTACATACATATACACATATATATGTATGTATATACACATACACACATACATATGCACCTACCTATACCAGCTATATATCTAAGTATATATGCACTCAAATCTCAAACCTGAGATTCAGATATTCTTCTACCATGGAATTACTCCCACCTCATTTTCCATACTAAATATGAAAAGCCAATCTTATGAATTTTGGGGTTTGGCTGTCCCACCTGGCAATCCAGACCTGTAAAGGGTTGATGAGATCTTTCAGGGATTCTTCCTCCAGCTCTCTTTCCATGTGTGCTGCCAGGTTCTCCTGAGCAATTACCATCATCAGCTCAGTCGTCATGCTCGAGGTGACACCATAGTAGAGCTAAATATCGGGAAAGAAAAAGTCAACTTCAGAGGATAAGTCATTAGCTGACAATGGCTATAGTAACTTTTTGTTTAAACTCTAAATAGAATAAAATGAGAGGTGAGAGAATGTGTCAAAAAGCAGGACATTTTAAAAAATAAAATAAGAAAATGATAACATTTGAACAAAGAAATCAACTTAATTTATATACCTGGGCATGCTCCAAGAACTCATTATATCCTCCTAAAAGCATACCCTTTCCTCCACGATCCAACAGCTCTCTCCAGATGATGGGGGAGTTTTTGTGCTTCCACTTATTCTTCTCGCAGGTATCTTTCAGCCACTCCTATTAAATGATATTTCAACAGAAATCCTCCATTAAATCTGCCTGAAATTCAATTCAATACCTTAGAATTTAAACACTAAAATACAACCCCTTTTTTTGCACCTATGCATACATAATACAATTTAGAGGGGCCAGCAGGTGGCATAGTGGTTGTGGCACTGGACTCCCACAGTTTAAGTCCTAGGCCCAATAGCTTGAAACTCATGCCAAGCACATGCATGCCCAAAATCTCAGCAGGAGAGTGGAAGAGAAGGGATTGTAGTGTGGCCATCCCCCCATGTGGTAATTTCTTATATTCTCTTTCTCTGTCTCTCTCTGTGTCTCTGGTGAGTGCACATGCCCTATAGCAAAAATCTCTCTCAAAAAAAAAATTAGATTTTTTTATCTTATTTTATTTATTTATTTATTTAAAATATTTTTGGAGAGGTTTTTTGGACAGAGGGAAAGAAAGCAAGAAATCACCCCCCTGGGAGGATGGCCACAATCTTTTCTCCTCCATTCTCTGCTCAGGATCTAGGGTATGCAAGCACATATGCCCAACATAAGTTTAAGTCACCGGGTCCAGGACTCAAAAACTGCGGTTGACTGCATGGGAGTCCAGTGACATAGCCATTATGCCAACTGCTGGTCCCACAATTTAGATATCTTTTTAAAAGTTCTTTCTTTCTTTCTTCTATGAGTGAGATAGAGAGAAAGAGAGAGACAGAACTCCCCAAAAAGCCTCTCTCCCTCATCCACCTCCATCCCCAGCCAGGTCCAATCATGGGCTTGCATGTACTGGGTATGTTCAGAGAAGTCTCAGGGTGCAAACACAGTGTCTTCCCATGTGGCAATGTTCCCATGCTACCACTCTGCCAACATCTGACCACAATTCAGATACCCAAATATAAATAAAATATAAATAAAATAGTGATGAATTCAGTAACAAGTTAATCAAATAAGAAAGAATGCTATTCAAGTTCATTGACCAGATAAAGGTACTAAAACTTGTCCTTTGTGCTATGGAGACCTGGAGTGAAAATACTTAGCTTAAATAGAGGCCTGTGTTCCAATTTGACCAATTAAAAAAAAAAAGTCATCTGATATTTCCTTTATTCTTATATATAAGCTATGTCCAGTCTTTGGGCCACATAAATTTTGAAACTGCTTTTCAAATTTGTGAATGTGACTTATATAATTCAGATTGAAATTAATGAGCTAAAAGGTCCCTAGGAATTTCTGTTAATTGTTACCATAAAAAGTTTAAATTATCAATATTTAATTTGTGTAGACTTTTCAATGAACAGAAACAGAGGGCAAGCACCATGCTTTTCTTTTTCTGTTGTTAAGGTTTTTGTCAAAGGGCACGTGTACTTGCCAAAGACAGACAGTGAAAGGAAAAAGCGAGAAATTACTCCCCCACCCAGGGAGATGGCCACAACATCGTCCCTTCTCCTCCTTTCCTCCTGGGATTTTGGGCATGTACCTTCACGTGCCCTGGGTGAGCTTCAAGCTGCTGCCGAGTCTGGAACTTGAACCATGGTTAATCATGTGGGAGTCTAGTGGTAGTGTCTACTACCATGTGGTAGTGACATCACCTGCTGGCCCCCATTCTTATCAATAAACTACATGGCATGTCTTAAAGCCATGTCATTGGAGGCATATGTAATGAGGCTACCTTTACAAATAAAACCTTAGTAACTATCCTCCCTTGTTGATAGCAAAGATCTCTCTGTCTTTATCCCACCATGGTCCCTCTAGTCATACTGTATTATCCAAAAAGTCATGATGTATGTTTCTTATGTTTTTCTATGTAAAAATGCATTCTAACTTTCTGAGAAGCCACTAGAATAGCCTGACCAATGAAGTGCTGGGCCTGTGTGAGAAAGGAACTATACCAATGAAGGACCACTCAGAGCATGTCCTGGCAGATCTGAGCGAGGAGAGCATGTATACAGTGGAGAGTGCTGAACCAAGAGTGGGACATCCAGCTGGAAAAGAGTGTATCTGTTAATAGGAATCACTCTTCTACGATGCAAGAGTGTGTATTTTGGCAAGAACCTCAGAAAATGGTGATAACATTTTGCTAGACTGGTTCTAGACAGCCTAGAAGAAGTGATGACTCCCATTACATACAGCAGAAATGCCAGAACAGCCATGGAGGACAGTAGAAGAAGGGATCAAAAGGCTAGTAAACATAGTACTGTGGAAGGTTAGAAAATTTGCTAGCCAGGCACGCTCTCTGGTAGGACCTGGAGTATAATACACTTACTGAAACGGTAAGGAATGCACTGGCAAGAGCCTGTAGTGACACTGAGAAGCTCAGTGTAGCTGAGCATTTTAGGCCAGGGTTATTAAGAGACATAGAGCTGGAGTCTCTACCAATGGGAATGAAAAAAAAAAAAAAAACCCAAAATAATGGAGGCCAGGGGGCAGTGCCCACCAGAGAATATCTACTGTGAAAGAATAGATCCCAGTATATGAGATACATACATGCCAATATATGAGATAACTTAGTTGAAGGCACAGTGGACTTGAGAAAGGGGTAATAGTTATGCCACAGCCCAGGGGAATGGGATCCCACTCCCCAAAACTTATGTAGTTATTGCTACTACAAAATGTTCAATACACCAGCAACAGGGATCAGAGCTGACCCCCCCAATAATGGCATTATCTCTCAAAGTCACCAACCACCCTCCTGCTGGCAAGTTGATCTCACTGGACTCTTTCTAGTCTAAAAGGGCAATATTTCCTCTTGATTTAAATCAACCTATATTTTGAGTAAATAATTGTCTTTCTGCTGGTAGGGCTTTGGCTTACACCCCTGTTCAAGAGTTTAAAAAATGTTTAACCCACCATCATAAGATCCTGCATAACTTTGAACTGAGGGGCCCACTTTGGAGTAAAAGTGGGCACATAACCATGAGATCCACTAACCTTATCATACATTAAATCACCCAGTCTGAGAGAAGGATAGCATAGCCTACTAAAGACTGATACCTTTCAAGGATGGGGCACTTTTCTCACTATGCAATATATTCCATAAATCAACACTTTTTTTTTTTTGCCCCAATAGGTATAATACATGAATCTGGGAACCAAGGATTGAAATTAAGAGTGATCATGTTTACTATCACTCTTGATGACCTATTTGGGGAATCTGTGCTTCTATGAAACCCCATTAATGTAGACTCTATGGGTTGGGAGGTTCTACATCCCAAAGCAGTGCTTTGTACCAGGAAACACAAGAAGAGTCACATTAAACTTTAAGCCATGGTTACCACTTGGTCATTTGAGCTCCTGTGGCAAGAGACCAGCAGGAAGGGAATGAAATTACTACCCAGCAAGGGGAAACTGATGATCAGTAGTGTGTAGGGCTATTATTACTCAATGTGATCAGGACAGAATATTTAGTATCTAGGCTCTCCACTGGGGAACTTTTGGGAGTTCTCCACTCAATTTTGACAGTGAATGGACAAGTGCAACAGTCACATCTTGAAAAGGGGAGAGAGACCAAGGCTCCGATCCCATAAGGATGCAGATCTCGTCCCATCACACCTAATGTGTTACCTACACAGAAGAAGTGAGGGAAATCTATGATGGAAAGTAGACAAGAGAGGGGATGAGTGTCAGTTTTGCCTCAAACTATATGCCCTAGAGACTGTAGTTCATTTAACTAACCTTCCTCTTGTAAGGAAAGATCCAACCAGTATCCCAGAGGAACTCCTCTCAGATGGTGTGAGCTGATTATATAGAGAGTGTGTGGATCACAAGGTGCAATGCGTGGGCTGTGCAGATGCTGTTCTGTATAACCCAGACTCTTCCTTCATAACTGAGGCACGCATTCCCTTAGCCACTAGGTAGACAGACTGGCTGTTGATGGCTCAGGACTGGGTCTCTCTCCAGGAACTGATTTCAGCCAAAGGGAATCACCTTGCCTGAAGTGAAGTCCCTTCACTGGGGCAGCCTGTATTCAATGACTGACTGATGTGGGATTGATGTGGCAGTACAAAAGCTCAGCACCTGTGCCCTATTTTGGGCTATCTCTGAAAGGCCATCCCAGCTTCAGAGTTTCCTGTAGGATTGCTGCACCCTTTGCTTGCACTGTATCCCAGTTCAAATTCTCCTTTGCCCAATCCTACCGCCCTCATTCCTTCTCAAGATATTGTACCCAAGACTAATTCCTGGTAAAGACCCTGTACTGAAATCTACTTCTGGGGGAAATAAAATCCCAAAAAAGAATATTGTTAAAAATTAAAAAAAAAAAAGACAAACAATTTCCTTTTGTTACTAGAAATCACTGTGAAGAAGAATGGAAAGTTAACGAGTGCAATACAAGCTCTCTGGATTCTGGAGGCTGGGCAGTCAAATTTATTCTTTTTTTTTTTTTTTTTTTTTTTTGCTATAGGGCATGTGCACTTGCCAGACAGACAGAGAGAGACAGAGAGACAGAAAGCGAGAAATCACCCCCCACGGAGGATGGCCACGCCACAATCCCTTCTCCTCCATTCTCCTCTCAGGATCTGGGGCACGCATGCACACGCGCCCGGCATGAGTTTAAACCACTGGGTCTGGAACTCGAACCACAATCGACTACATGGGAGTCCAGCGACATAGCCATTACGCTAACTGCTGGGCGATAATTTATTCTCTTTATTGGTTAGGGTCTCATTTGTTCTACTAGGTACTAGGAAAAATATATAAATAATCTTTTTGAGGTATAAATAGAAATACATTTTACTTGTATTCAAACTTTAGTAGTACATAAACATTCATTAATGGAAGCCAATCTAATACACTAGGTAAAACTCAAATGAAAACACATTTTTGTACATGTTTGTGTTTAGCAATCTGTAAACCTTACCTCCCAAACATCAGGATGTTGTGTAATTTTATGTATCCGAAAATCAGGAAGATTCTTTTGCAAGTAGTCTGCCAGAAGTTCTGCTTTCGCGTAATATGGACAATCTCCCCTACCTAAAAAAATTTAAATTAGGAATTTTTTTGCCACAAAAACTTTATCATGTAGTTTTGAATCTGTCATATAATTATAGAATTAATCATAATTATGATACACTCTTATAACCTAGGGTTATAGCACAAACTACCACAATGTAAACTTCTGATTTTTTTATGTCGATCAAAATAAAATAAATTTCAAAGAAAGTCAGAATCTTAAGTAAATCCTTACAGACTCTAAAAAATTCTTAAAAGAGGGAACCAGCAGTTAGCATAATGGCGATGTCGCTGGACTCTCACGTAGTTGACCGCGGTTCGCGTCCCGGACCCAGTGGCTTAAAACTCACGCCGGGCGCGTGTGCGTGCGTGCCCAAGATCCCGAGAGGAGAATGGAGGAGAAGGGATTGTGGCGTGACCATCCCCCCTGGGGGGTGATTTCTCGCTTTCTGTCTCTATGTCTCTCTCTGTCTGGTGAGTGCACTCGCCCTATAGTGAAAATCTCTCCAAAAAAAAAATTCTTAAAAGAATTATTAAATTATTTTATTTCCCTAAAATGTAGAATGGAAAAACAAAAACTATGGAATATTCTCTTCCAGTATGATGTGAGGCCTTACTTCCTCTAGGAGGAAGCTAACTACTACTAATACAGCATGAACTACTAACAGTAACCTGCTCAGAAGTATCCACCAACAGGTAAAGTGTGAAGTGGGGAGTGACGGTAAAATCTCTTTTGGGTTTGATATGTATGTATGGCAGAGTTGTGAGAGTAAAGAGAGGAGTCTGGGATAACTTCTATTTTTTGGCCCGGGTGGATGATCCTGACCTTACTGAAGAGAAATGATGGAAGAGGAGAGTAACTTTTGACAAGAGCTGTGTGAAGTATCTGTGGTATATCTAAGTAGATATGACCAGCAGGTGGTCATGTAAGTCTGAGGTGCAGGTGCCATGTAAGGGCTTCAGACACACATTTTTGTAGCCATCAACCCACAGGAAGTTAAAGCAGATGGGACTGGGTGACTTTGGTGTGGGCAGTTTCTGTAAGGAGACAGAAATAGGAGAGGACTTCAAAAAGTTCAGGAAAAAACATATATTATGGAAAAACTACATAATGATTTCAAAACAATTTTGTACCGGGACCAGCAGTTAACGTAATGGCTATATCGCTGGACTCCCACGTAGCCGACTACAGTTCAAGTCCCGGACCCGGTGGCTTATACTCATGCCAGGCGTGTGTGCCCAAGAGAAGGGATTGCGGCGTTGGCGTCCCTCCTGGAGGGTGATTTTTTGCTTTCTGTCTCTCTGTCTGGCGAGTGCACGCGCAAAAACTTCTCCAAAAAAATTTTTTTTGTACCAAAATAAATTCATATTTTAATTTTTTTTTCCCAACACCCTTTTTTTTTTTGAGAGGTTTTTTCTATAGGGCATGTGCACTCGCCAGACAGAGAGAGACAGAGAGATAGAAAGTGAGAAATCACCCCCCAGGGGGGATGGCCACGTTGCAATCCCTTCTCCTCCATTCTCCTCTCGGGATCTTGGGGCACGCATTCACACGCGCCCGGCGTGAGTTTAAGCCACCCGGTCCGGGACTCTAGCCGTTATCGACTATGGCCCGGGAGTCCAGCGACTTAGCCATTACACTAACTGCTGGTCCCCCAACAACCTTTTTGAAGTCTTCTTGTAGAAGTCAGATTGAATAGAAGAGCAGGCTACTCTTAGGAAACTTACTGAGAAGGGGAGAAGGCAGGTACAATAAACTACCAGTTAAAGTCTCCTCAGTGGTTTTTTTGCTGTCACTCTGGCACTTTCAACCCTTCCGTTTCAGCCAAGATGGGCTTCCTAAAATACACACCCATTAAGAGTGCTCTCCTGCCCAACGTTTTTCAATGACTCCTCTTGCTTTGAAGATACAGTTCAACTTTGGTTGGTGCAGGCGAGGTGCAAGAATGTGGCACCTGTTCGCGCCCCAGATTCTCTCTCTTTCCCCATAATCAGATTCTGCAACAGGCCAGGAGGCTCCTCATCCCAAAGTTTCACATCCTCACTCCTGGAACAGTTCCCTTGCTAGTTCCTTGTATCTACCGCTCTGCATCCATCACGCTCAGATTTGGGGTCTGTGCTCCCAGAGGCCTGTGCAAATTTCCCTCACTGCATTAAGTACTTGTAATTAAAAAGGACTTGTTTCCATGGTTCTATACCCCATGACACTGAAAGCACCTCGAATGCAGGGATATACTGTCCCTCACTGTATCCCCCGTGTTCAGCCTTGCTTGGCACACGGTCACTGTTCAATAGATATCTTTGAATAAATACATAAGAATGCGAAAGAAGCTAGGTTTGCTAGAATAGAAGTCAGTTAGGATAATTGTTAAGAGGCCACGGGAGGCGTTTGGAGCGACGTGCGGGCGTAAGCGGGGATCACTCTACTCACCCGCGATCACGAATTTAGCCATGGTCTCAGAGGTAGAGACCGCCGCGTCACGGTTACCTGGCAACCACGCAGCCTGGGCATGACGCAGGCGCACTCTGAAGTCTGGCGTCCAGCCAGAGCAACTTCACTTGTGTTGCAACTTGTGCCTCGAAGGGGTTACGGGTCGGTACATGCTCATATACTGCCTTTATAAATTCTATGGTCTCCCCTGTCTTTATCCATCTATCCAAGAGGACTAGCCATTTTCCTTAGTAGGTCTTAAACGCGACGAACATATACTTTTTGACCTATGAAGGAATCCGTAAAGTCTCGCGATATGTCAACTCTCGGGGAAGCTGTCATGGCGGCGTCTGTACTTAGCCACGGGGTGCAGCCCTAAGGTGAGTGGAAAACGAGCATAGGCGGAGCGATTAGTATTATCACACTAGACTGCGTACCCTGCGGAGAACGGCCTCAGGAGTTGTCTCGACATTAAGTTTAGGGAGGTGGGTTAATGCCAGACGGGCCAACTGCGGAAGGTCGGGCTCCTGACACCGGTTCTGGGGTCAGATGAGGCTGGCTGGTTTGTGTATTTTCCTCGTCAGCTGCGTGCAATCACGTTCGTTTTTGCTTCAGTGAGAGAGAAAGTGAGAAATCACCCCCCACGGAGGATGGCCACGCTGCAATCCCTTCTCCTTCATTCACCTTCTGGGATTTTGCGCACAAGGACACACGCCCACACGCCCAGCATGATCTTCAAGTCGCCAGGTCGGGGACTGGAACCGTGGTCGGCCATGTGGGAGTCCAGCATAGTAGTCCCTTCTCTTGAGCCATTCTAATTATCTAAGCCCCTATTCTTAATAGTTCGGTTCAGCTCTTGCTAAATCCTCAGGTTGAAAATTACCAACGAGTTTACACGCCGAGCGCGTGTGCGTGTGTGCCCAAAATCCTGAGAGGAGAATGGAGGAGAAGGGATTGCGGTGTGGCCATCCCCCGTGTGTGTGTGTGTGTGTGTGTGTGTGTGTGTGTGTGTGTAATTTCTCACTTTCTGTCTCTGTCTCTCTCTGTCTTTCCCTCCCTATAGCAAAAACAAACAAAATTACCGACCAGTTTAAACCCCTTATTTTCATGACGATATCTCCAATACAATGCTATCAAAACTCCTTCAGAGGAAACTATGAAATACTTTTTCACCATTAATATACACACACACAAATAGTCATTTATATGACTATTTCCAAAGTAACCTGCCTTCTACAGTGTCTACTGGTAAAAGTTTACCATTTTAATGTAAATCTTTATGGTAGAGATTTAACATATTATTGCCTACTCAATAGAATCCCAGTTTTTTGCAACTGTAAATGCACTTTTAAGTAAAAGTTTTGCTTTAATTTTTTATTTCCTTCTATTATTTTTTTTTTCCATACAGGTTAACAGTAGCATGCATTCTCTTCCCCTAGGAGAAGTGACATTTGTTTCATCTTGACAACATTCAAGCCATTTGGAAATTTTAGTGGACAACAAAATGAATAACAAAGCAGGTTCCTTTCTATGGAACCTCAGACAATTCAGTACTTTGGTTCCAACCAGCCGAACTATGAGGCTATTTTCTTTGGGACTTTGCAAAACAAAAGTGGTTCATTCAGGCTGGAACCTCAACAGCCTAAGTGACTTCCATAGCAGAATGCAATTATCTATTAGATATCTCTTTCAGGGTACATTCTTTTTAAAAACAGGAGCTGGCTGCTTTCAAACAAAGGGCATAAGCACTGTAGCAGCCATTAAAAGTGACAGACTACTTGGTCCTAGAAAGCTGTCCCTTGACTCAAAACATTCTCTTGTCCCTGTTGGTACTGCTGATAATGAAATGAACAAAGTACGCTTTCATCAGGAGGTCCCCAATGAAGATATTGTCAGCAAGGAAATAAAACCAACCCCTATCACTTATAAAAAGCTGGCCCAGGAGTGTAATTCCCTAAGTGATGTGTTAGATACGTTTTCAAAAGCTCCTACATTTCCTAGTAGTAACTATTTCTCAGCAATGTGGACAATTGCCAAAAGGATGTCTGAGGACCAGAAGCGCTTTGAAAAACAACTGATGTTTAACCATCCTGCATTTAACCAGCTGTGTGAACATATGTTGAGAGAAGTCAAGTTTTTGCACTATGACCAGTTGCTCTTCAGTCTTCATGCAATGGTGAAGCTTGGAATCCCTCAGAACACTCTTCTGATACAGACTTTGCTGAGGGTGATCCAGGTAAAAAACAATAGGAGATTTAAACATCATTTTACTTTATCTTGAAAGACGATAGATAGATATAAATATATAGGATGATAGATATAGTTTATCTTGAAAGACGATAGATATAAATATATAGGATGATAGATATATAGCCTCCTTAAAAGAGACTATCAAATGATGTGGTATAGTTTCCTTTATGTTTCTTTCTGCAGATGATTTAGAGACCTTGAGAGAGATAGATCTTTTTATTCTTTTTGCTATGGAAATTTATAAAAGCTTACTCTAGTTACCTTTTCTAGTTTTGAGTAGTAGTAGAGGCTAAAATGAGAGATGCAAAAGATACAAAAAAAGATTGAGTAATTGAAAGGATAGAAGAAGGACGGGACTATGTCTTTTACCTACATAATCTTATTTCATGCTCTCAACAGCCCTGAAAGGCTGATGCCACCTTAGTTTTGCAGATAAGGAAACAGATTCGGTGATTTTAAGCAACTGGGTTAAGGTCACACAGCTCATCAAGTCATATATTCATACAGTAAACATTTATTGGATGTCAACTGTGTACCAGTTACTGTACTTGTCAGTAGGGATATAATGATATGTAAGACATGGTTCCTGCCTTAGGAAGCTTATTTAGAGGAGAAGACATATTTTGCAGGTAATTACAGAAATAATAACCAATATTCATTAATGAATTATATGTTTACTATGTTATAGGCACTGTGCAGAACATCAGGGAATATAATTGCAAACAAAATGCTTATTCTGCAGTGAAAGAAGCATACAGGGTCTTAACTAAAGTGTGTAATAGGGATTTCAGTCTAGTTGCCTTCATGATGGGAAATTGAGATGGGGGAGAGAGGATGCAAGGTAGTGTTTGAAGAAGAGGTATGCTCAAGTTTGAATATAGAATTGCCTCATGTAATTAGGAAACTGAGACTTAAATAACTTGCCCAAGGTCATGTATCTATTAATGTCACTACTTATAGATACTTGATAAATATTTGTTGTTTGAGTGAACACCTTGTGCAGCGTAGAATTGGGATTCAAGTCCAGCAGGAGATGATGCCTAAGCTCAGTCCAAGGGATGACCAGCAGTTCCTGAGAAGATTGATAGTGGAGGGGATGGTGTTTCAAGCAATCATTTGTATATTCTAGCATCCTGAAAGAAAAAATTGGCTAATTTAGGGATGGAGGAAGTTGTGTATTATTGGTCGTCTAGGGAGGGCTGATGGCAGGGGCCTTAGTGGCAAGATATGAGGCTGAAAAAATAAGCACTGCATTATAAAGAGTCTTTTATTTCTGGCTAAGGAGTTTATCTTGTAGGCAATGGAAGTCCATTGAAGGAATTTAAACAAAGGGCTGACATTTTCAAATTTGTATTTTAGATATCTAAATGAATGGAAAATGGATTTTTAGAAAAGGATTATTTAATACTATTTATTGTTTTTTAATTTGACCAGAGAGAAACAGAGAAAGAGAGTAAGCAAGCAAGCTGCCATGGCTGGGACTCAAACTGTGGTTGGCCATGTGGGAGTCCAGTGCCTCAACTACCACGTCACCTGCCAGCCCTGAAAATTGTATTTGAAGGACGATGAAACTGGATGGAGGGAGCCATCCAGTTTTAAACAAAGACATTAGTGTCCAGCTTGATGCCATTGACATGTGATTAGCTCATTAATCATTTACTTTTTAAGAGCGAACCACCCTTCAGATTTCTAAACTCAATGCTTGTAATTAAATACTTAAAAAAAAAAAAAAAAAGCAGGAATTTCCTGGGGACAATCCTGTGTATGTGCTATTGTGTTATCAAGTTCAAGAATTGGGTCTTAAGTATAGGAAGTTTTTAACTTTCTACATTACTGTGTTTTCCCCAAGAACTAATATTTGGGGTGTGTGTGTGTGTGTGTTTGTTTAAACCACAGAATGTCCATGTTTGTTCCTTGTGTGGTTATTTAAAAATGATTATAATATTCATTAAGTTGCCTTATCTGGCCAATGATGCCCTTCTTAGATGTTAGACAAGTATTCACATCGTATAGCATATGCATTGGTGTGGTCATTGGTGAGGTATGAGCAATGGGTATTTGAATTCAATATCTGTGTGTATGATTGCATCTCACTGACATACTGTAATGTCATGGAGGCATTTTAGCTAGAGGTGAAAGGATATAGTGCAATCTGTGAATTTGCCCTTCAAACAAATAATGAACTGGCCTTCCTTTTGTAGCAGATATTGATAGAACTTTAGAAATGAAGGAAACCTTCCCTTGGGATTGGAAGTCTGTTTTCTTCCAGCTATATCCGTTTCTTATTATTATCTGGCTCTAACTTGAGACTTTGTGACTGGTTAGTCATATAATTTTACAGAATAGCTTACCTCTTTTAGCCCTAGTTTCCTCAATCATGATACTTTAACTACTGTGAGATATCTAAGAAGGTAGACTAGTTGTGATGAACTTGTAGAGTACTAGCTCAGCTTGTTAGAATTTGTGCTCACTCTCATTCCTTGAATATAAATTAGTGCTGTAAGCACAGGGACCTGAAAGAAGGTTCTGTAGAGCTTGACCTCTTCTCGAGACTCAGCTAGTTGCGGTAAAATGTGTAGTGGAGGTGAATCAGAAGATTCATGACTAAAGTTGCAGCTTTATATCCAGGAAAGGATTTAGGGAAATTGTAGGGGCTTGGTCATCTTGGGGTTTTTAGGGATGGTCAAATGTCTTGTAGACCTAGTATAACTGGACCAGAACTCATTACCTTAATGATGACATTAGGGCCCTGAGAAGAAATGAAAATAATGTGTAATAAAAGTTTATTTCTAGGGACCAGCAGTTGGCGTAATGGCTATGTTGCTGGACTCCCATGTAGTCGACTGTGGTTTGAGTCCCAGACCCGGTGGCTTAAACTCACACCAGGTGCATGTGCATGTGTGCCCAAGATCCCAAGAGGAGAATGGAGGAGAAGGGATTGCAGTGTGGCCATCCCCTCTGGGGGGTGATTTCTCGCTTTCTGTCTCTCAGACTCTCTCTGTCTTTCTAGCGAGTGCACATGCCCTATAGCAAAAACCTCTCAAAAAAAAAAAAAAAACATTATTTCTGAAGCAGAAGAATGTAGTCAGTAACATATGGACTTTTCAATGGTAATGGTGAATGTAAAAAAAACATTGAAACATAAAACTGTATGAAACAATTATTTGGAAAGTTCACTGAAGTATGGTATCTTATTGCCTATACATGCAGTTTTTCATGGACTGAATATGAATTATTGGTTTGATGTTAATCTTTCATTTGAAAGTATCAACTCAGTGGTTTTAATTGGGTGAGATAGTCTACCAAAGACTTTTCACCTCCAGTGTTTTTATAATTATGTTTCAATAGGAACGAATCAATGAGTGTGACGAGAAATGCCTTTCAGTTTTGTCAAATATTATAGAGGCGATGGAGCCATGCAAGAATGTGCAAGTTCTGCGAGCGGGATTGAGGTGAGAACTCTTTTATGCTTTCTTCATGCGTTTTTCTCTGTTCTTATATCTGCAATAAAAAATTGTGAAGAAAACTGGTTATTTTTTGAGGGGGAAAGGAGGTAGGCTTTGTTGGTAGTTACAGTCTTTAATACTGTATTGAACTTAAAATTCTGTCTGAGATAAAACTGGAAATAATACTAACTACTGTGAGTGTTCTTTTAAAAAATTGGTTATTAAACAATATGAATGACATTGAGATCTAAATTAATATATCTTAAAGCATAGTACTAATAGGGAGTGGGGAATCGACATGTATATTCAGTTCAGAATAGTTATTTTCAGCTTAGAATAGTTATGTGCACTGTGAGGGAGTCATACAACACCTGCCAGCTTAAAAATGGATTTTTAAAATCATGCATCTGATCTAATGTCATAGATTAGTGAGAATAATACTTAATTCTCTTTTTCATTGGTAGTGCATAGGATAGCCTGCTATAACTTGCTGATGTAATTTGTTATATCACAGTAAATTGGAGGAAAATACAGTAATATGAAAAAAATTATTAGACTGAGTCTGCATCTTTCATTAACTACTTATAGACATGGCCTTTAAAAAATGTGTGGAAAATTTGTACTAAGAAAAAAACTATGCATGGATTTCAAAAAATTTTGTACCAAAATAAACTAGTACTTTAATTCCTTTTTTTATTTTTTTTTTTGCAAACTTTTTGAGGTCTCCTCTTGGACAAATAGGTAATTTCTATGGGCTTCATATTCCTTCTTTTTTTTTTTTTTGGAGAGGTTTTCACTATAGGGCGCATGCGCTCGCCAGACAGACAGAGAGAGACATAGAGATAGAAAGGGAGAAATCACCCCCAGGGGGGATGGCCACGCCCCAATCCCTTCTCCTCCATTCTCTTCTCGGGATCTTGGGCACGCACGCACACATGCCCGGCGTGAGTTTTAAGCCACTGGGTCCGGGATGCGAACCGTGGTTGACTACGTGGGAGCCCAGCGACATAGCCATTACACCAACTGCTGGTTCCCCATATTCCTTCTTATAAGAAGTAGGAGCTGGACCAAGATTGAATATAAATAAACAAGTTTTTTAAAAAGACTTATTTTTTAAGATTTTCTTTAAGATTCTAACATTGTAACACTGTGTTTGATGACAGATTACTAGTTGATCAGCAAGTTTGGAAGATAGAACGTGTCTTCACCTTGCAAACTGTGATGAAATGTATTGGAAAAGATGCACCACATGCTCTTAAAAGGAAACTAGAGGTAAACACCTGAATTTTCTCCAGTGGGTAAGATTTGAAAAAATTATTTTTTGTGACTTGCTATCATCTCATGAAATCAGTTTTTTTGGAAGACATTGCTAATGTGTTTGTTTTGCTGAAGCAAATGGACAGGATTGGGTTTATATTTATTTGTACATACAAATATTTGTGTTTACTTATCTGAGTCGTTTTTCTTAATCTTCATCCTTTTTATTTAAAAAAATAGAAGTTTCATTTAATTTTGCCACAGATGACAAGTTCCATTTAAGTTTGTTTTTCTTTAGATGAAAGCTTTGAGGGAATTAGACAAATTTTCTGTTCTGAATAGCCAGCGTATGTTCGAGGTGCTAGCTGCCATGAATCACCATTCTGCTGTTCTCCTGAATGAATGCAGTAAAACATTCATAGGTAAGAGGAGTTTTTCTTTTATAGTTTGTAACAGGTGATCCGCTCTTTTGGATTATATTTGTTTTGTTTGTTTTAAAAATGTTGCTTTTATTTGAAGAAAATCTGACTGTAGGATACATCTAAATTTCATTTTTGCCTGTTGCTTTTAAAGAAAAAAAAAGTGTTTTTTTTCCTTAAGAAGCAAAAGTATTGCACATCTTGAATCTTACATGCTAAATATGTTTGTTTATTTAACTCCTTAAAGATAATATCCATGGGTGTCCTTTTAAAATATTGATCAACATACTGCAGTCCTGCAAAGACCTCCGATACTTTAATATAGATCTCTACAAGGGAATAGCAGATTATGTGACTACAACTTTTGACATGTGGAAGTTTAAACAAGTGAGTATGTGTACAGTTTAGAATTAATGTCAACAATTTCAAGAGGCATATTAATTCATTTAGCATTTTGAGCATTTCTCTTTCAATTTTATAGTAGTTAAAATGCCAAAATATTTTAATGTTAAAATGACTTTTGAAAAATGAATTTTTTAATGTTTCTGTCTTGAGGTATTTTTTAATATACTATTTAATCTTTTAACTATCTGAAGTTAAATTATATTGTTGAAAACTTGCTTTGCTATTTTTCAGAGGGTTATGCAGTACTTTGGTTAGATATTTAGCATTATTTCTATGTTTCTTTCCTTTTTCTTTGCCAGTTTTTGAATACAGATGGTGGGTGATGTAACAGACTTGGGCTTTTTGTAGAATAAAATATCATTATTTAATGATCATGACTATCATTTCCTTCAGAGTAAAAGCCTTTAAATTCAGGGACTGTGTTAATACTATAAACATCTGAATGAAGCAACTGGTAATAAGCTGTTTTGTAATGAAGTGGGTAACTGTGTTAGATCAATGGGCTCAGTTTACTTTGGAGTATGAAGTCAATATTGAGTATGCTATGGAAATTGATTTTACAAAGAGAAGTAATAACCGTAAGTGAGAAAGACCAAGAAAGAAATGGAAGGTGAATTGGAAAATTAATTTTAATATATCAACTCCATTCTGATTTATGTAAATTAATATTAAATATAGGAAACTTGGAATCATCTTTTATATTTAGAATCTAGAAGTGTCTAGGTCTGAGAGGGAGCAGTTCAAGATTACATGGTTCATTTTCAAAAACTTCAGGAAAGATCTAGTTAAAAGTAATTTTCAGGTCTGTTGTATCAAAAGCGTATAGGAAATGGGAACCAGCAGTTAGCGTAATGGCTATGTTGCTGGACTCCCATGTAGTCGACCGCGGTTCGCATCCCGGACCCAGTGGCTTAAAACTCACGCTGGGC